AATAATGAAATAATTTATTTTTGGTTTAATAATATAATATTTTATAAAGATAATAATTAAGTATTCTGTTAGAACTTAATGATTATCCTAATTATATTTTAGATTTTTTATATTTAAAATGATATGTTTATCTTGTATTTGATTGTGTTTATTTGCAGTTAGTTACACGAATTCAGATATGTGATAAAATCGGATAGGGATGAACGGGTTTAAGAGTTTTTAAGAGTTTAAGATTTTAAGAGTTTAAGAGTTTTTAAGAGTTTTAGTCAAATGTTTTATAATATAGTATAGATATACACATACATCTTATTGGTTTTTTTCTTAGCTTCAATTTGTCTTGTTAATATTTCAGTTGTTAGGAGGTGGTAAATGTTTCTCCAACAACTATGTCATTTTAAAAACTTTAAAAATTTAAGAAAAATCTACTGTAAGAGGTATTCTAAACTCTCATTTAAAATTAAAAAAAATAGAATAAAAGAGAGAAATATAGCATATTAAACAGCTGGGACATTATGATTGGTGAGTATATTATTTGTACATGATTTTAGAGATAAAAAAGATACTAAAATTACAGATAAATACAAAATGAAATGATTACCTTCAATTATTTACTTTATTTTTTTTAATTTTAATCATGAATTGAATAATTTAGAGGCTTAGAGCTGTTCTCTTATTTTTGTAAAACACAAGTGTATGAATTTTTTTCTTGTGTTTATGAATGGTTTCTTCTCAATGGCCAGATTACTTTGAGGCCAAGTCCAACCTCTACCACAAGGGTGGTGTTTGATTGGTTTGAGCTTGATTCCAAAGGTTAAAAGTACGAGAAGATCCTAGGTTCAAATCCAAGGAGGAATAAAAATCTTCTTGTGACCACGGAGGTTCAAATGCAGTGACTCCGGGCTATCTGCAAAGCATTGACGGACCTATGTATGTGGTATAGATGGCACGTGCCACCGTATTATTTCTCCGCCGAAGGATAAAAAAATTAGGTTTCGTGAACGATGCAACCGTATTAATTTGTTGTGTGCCACCGTATGTATTTTGAAACTACAATGAGAACAAGTTTTATTTGGTAGAGTTGGTTTGCAAGACTTTTATTCCACCCCTCACCCAAGTCCGAATCATGTTAATGTCATTTTCTTAGTCAAATGGTGTCACCGTTTGAAAAAAAATACTATATTTTTTTTTCTTATGGTCAAATGGTGCCACCGTTTAAAGAAAAAATCTGGGTCTATCTACTGCAAAGCATATGATCGTCCTGGGATTAATCGACTCGCATAACGGTTGGATATCTGGCTTACTAAAAAAGAAAGAAATTCGGACGCCTCTCTCCTAAGCAGCTACTTCAAACTTGTTCCCTAATCCCAAGAATTCAAAGTTGTAAACAACTGTCATTCCCTGTAATTCCCGCTTCGAAATTTGATTTCATCGTCTGCTCACAGACCCACCACGAAGTTGCTTTCTCTTCAAAACCCTACAGTAGTTCATTTGTGCAAGGAGGTAAGCTACTGAACTTATGGGATTTGATTCATCTTCTAGGGTTTTTGATTATGTTGGTTCCAAATTTCTTTATATTCATTCTCTACTTCTAGGGTTTAAGTCAAGTTATTCTACTTCTTTTTTGAATTTCTACTTGCTGCACGTTACGAGTCAGAGTGATATAAGAGATGATCATTCACATATATATTTTATCTTTTTCTTGAATTTTTCTTAGTTTAGATGGTGTCTTGAATGGATGCCTTATGTTGCTGTGTTGTTTAGAGTGAAGTACATGGATACTGATGAAATTGAGTGGATCACAATCTACATGGAAACATAAAAGGCTTTTTCATGCTTTATAATGAGGCCTGTGGCTGTATATGTGAATTAATGAATATATAGGCTAACAATTTATTCATCTTTCCATGAGGGTGGATTTTGAAATTTGCAAAATTGGCAACACTTTTGATTACGTGTTTCAAGGTGGCAGGCATATGATATGGCCCAAGCACTCAGCTTAAGAAATCATGATTTGGTTCCAGAATCAGCCAAGGATCATGCATCATTCATCTGGACAACTCACTAAAGAACAAAATATACAGACTACATTTCAAGATTGTGGCTATTTGGTGAAAATATACAGACTACGTATAAAATGTTTAAACATTTAAATGAATTATTTTTCTTTTTTTATCACTCAACGTAAACAGAGTTGCTTGTGTCTTGATGACTCACGAGTTACTTCTTTTTCATGGTATTTACGCCTTTTGACTTTATAGAGTTTAAAAATTCAATCAGACGTTGTCACGTACCTGGATAAATACTATATAACTGTGATATTATAACAAGTTAAATTTTAATAAGCTGTATGCACAGTCATTTCGCTTCCAGTTCTTTGTTTCATGCATGCTGCTACTTCCAAGAACAGAGACACGTGTCTCATTTATACCCAAAACTGGTGATCATTCATCACTCTCACACCCTTATTTCATGCCACGTACCCGCTTTTACGATGCAAATTAAATCCCAACATTTTTAAATTAAATATTCTGCCAAAAATTTAACAACAGTAATTAAAACTTGTTTACAAAGAGTGATATCTTTCTTGATTAACTCTTGCAAGACCTTCTTAAAAGTTTGATTCTTATCCAACTTCATTTTCAATTCAGACCATGTTTTCTAAATTGATCCAATGTTCAGAATTATTTTCATGTAGCTATAACGCATAACTAAGATGCTAATTGACTTTTCGATTGAGCAATTTTGAATAACTTGCAACAATAAAAAAATCTTTGTAACCCAATCATTCTCGATCATGGCATTCAAAATTCGTAGCTTATGAATATAATGGGTATAAGAAAAATGCATGTTTTGTTCATCTTTTGAAAAAACAATGTTAATTTATAATAGGCTTTTTTTAAAGCAAATCTTTCATTTTTTTTAATTTAAAAACACTTGGCTAAAAAAATATTCAAAGCAATAGTAGGCTCATCACAATCATTAAGGTTAAGATTACCAGCAAGATTTTCTATAGATTCATTGAAATTGGGATCAACGAATTCTCCATCAACAAGATTTTCAACATTATCACTAGAACTAGGATTTTGAATGGGTTAACTTTGTTTAATAAAAAATTCCTTTAACAACCCATATAAAGATTGAGCAATTTTTTGTTATTTTTTTTTCTATTTTAAGCACCAGAAAATTATGACATAGGAAACATATATATTTAATCAAATTGTTCAAAAATCCAAGTTTCAATGATTCTTGACTTTTTACTCTCCTCTTTCTGCTGCCTTTCTCTTTATTCTGATTCTCTTTAATTACGTTTGTAGAAATAAAAATATAATTTCGCAACGCTCTAGCCCCTTAATCACGACCATAGCCTCACCCTTGAAACCTTTTGCCGCCTTATTAATCTCAACTGCTTGATTACTTACCATGACCTAATTAATCCGCAAGTTTTGACTAAATACAATTTATCTCCAACTTCCATCTTTCCAAAGTTGACACAATTTAGCTGTCAGAATAGTATTAGACTATTAGTCAGTCTTTGTCTTTGATAAATAATAGGTCTCGTACCTAGTAATTAGGAATTAGTTTGTTTTTGAAAGCTTCTTAGTTTGTTAGCTTTTTGTTCCCGTTTTTATGCTTTCTGTTATGGGTGCAACGTTCGTTTTGTAGGCTATTTAAAGCCAAGTTTGTTCCATGGAATAATAACTATCATTTGGTATATGAAAGCGGTGTATTCTCTGATCCATCAATTGGTATCAGAGCCAATACTCGGCGTTCTACGTGAAGTTCAGAGAGTGATACACGAGTGGGTGAGAGATGGCTACCGACTCAAACAATTTCCAAACCCCCTATGTATCCAAGTTCGATGGGGACTACAATAATTGGAGTTTGATCATGGAAAACTTGCTTCGATCAAAAGAATACTGGAGTGTGATCGAAGGGGGTTATATAGAAGCGGGACCTGGAGTGTAGTTGTCAGCAGCTGAGCAAAAAGCCCTGGATGAAGCCAAACTCAAAGACCCTTTCAAAGTTAATTAAAAAGAAAATGTTTTGACAGAGTTGTAATTCATTAAATTACTATCATACCCTTTCTAAGTTAATTAAAGAATAACATCAATTATCTTAAATGATTGGTTCACATTAGATCTTACAGTTATCACAAACTATCTAATTCTCATTTGATTAGACCTTTATATATATATATATATATATATAGAGAGAGAGAGAGAGAGAGAGAGAGAGAGAGAAAGAGAGGGGTTTAGGGGAAAACCTTAAAAAATGAAAAACTGAAGAATACACTGGTAACCATTCATTTGGACGATATTCACATATGCATACAAGTAATTGAAAACCGTTTTTTGGTTTTATGCACGATTGCATGTTATAAATTGCTTTCAAATTACTTGTATGCACATGACCATACTAGACAAATTGTTTTTATTTTTTTGGGATTTTCTCCTAAACCTGACCCTATATATATATATATATATATATATATATATATATATATATATATATATAGGCTGGTTCAAATGCTAACCAAGATTATCGTGTTAACTTTGTTAATCGATCTTGACCGTTAATTTGAATAATAAACGGTTGTGATTTAATGATATTTAAAAATTAATTATTAAATTAATATTTTCAATTAACATATGTGAACAAAATATCAAAGGGTATTTAGGTAAAAAGTAATATATATCTTTGATACACGAGTTGTCAGACATATGAACAACTTGTGTATATCCTCTCAAACAAAAAAGATTAGACATATGAACAACATATGAACCGTATGAACATATTCTGTATATTCATGAGCCAACTCTGTTGTATGTACATGAACACCTACGAAGCTTGTGTTCACATGAATCACAGATACTGTTCATATTCATGTGATGTGATTGTGCATGTGTATAGATATGAACATCTATTGCCTTTGATATGTGTTCATTTAAACAAAATGAAATGTCATACTAATCACTTACCAAGAGGAACGCTTTGATCATCTTCTTCATTATCGGAATTCGAATTCCGACCGTAGTCGTAGACGATTTTAACTTTCTCATTTCCATTGTTGTCAATATGTTTTACAATAGGATTATCCATATTACTCGGACGATACGAAAATCTTTTACACTTACAAAAACAATATCATTATATGTAGAACATCACTTGAAAATTATGATCATGAACATGTATGAAGATAAAATTCAGAATTACATCATGATCAATTAGTGAGATCTTTAAGATTTGTAACTCCCAATTAATTATTAGAGAGTTACATAAAGATCAAATTACCTAATTACCTAATTACCTTTGTATTTAATATATGAGTTACATTTGAACATAAAGTAAAGATGTAATATGATTAGTTAGGTTTGGTTAGTATAGTTAACACAAATTTCTTGGTTAGTATTTGAACCAATCTCTCTCTCTCTCTCTCTCTCTTTATATATATAGGTGCTTAATCAAATGAGAACTAATTAGTTTGTGGGTAACCGTGAGATCCAATCTCAACCACAAATCAAATATAAATTAGAAAATTATAATTTTGGTATTTTGAATTAAAATTTTAATGCAAGAACATTTTAGTTATTTTAAATCTCTCCTCTCTCCTCTCTCTGTCCCCCGGCCTCCGGCCACCGTCCTCCGGTAATACCACAGTGGTATCACAATGCATCTTATATGTGTTTGAGTATCACACTGAGGTCGTTTGTGTGGTCGATCGGTGATGTAACACAGTGGTATCGCAATGCATCTTATATGTGTTTGGGTATCATACTATATCTTTTGTTTAACAGAAACAATATTTTTAGGTATCACAATGGTATTATCGGAGGACGGTGGTCGGAGGACGGGAGGACGGTGAGAGAAGAGAGGAGAGAGGAGAGAAAATATTTAAAATGTCTTTGCATTTAAATTTTAATTCAAAATTAACAAAATTATAAATTTTCTAATTAATCTATTGATTTGTAGTTGAGATTGGATCTCACGATTACCACAAACTAGTCAGGTCTCCTTTGAATGGATCCCTATATATATATATATATATATATATATATATATATATGTACGGTTGGATTTATGTGAGACCAATCTGTTTTCGTGAGACTCGCGAGACCACTTTTTTACACTTGAAACTAAGTCGAACCTTCACAGGAAAAAAACACTGTCAATGTTACCTTCACAACGTTTTGTTGTCAAGTTTTAAGTGTAAAAAAATGATATCACAGGTCTCACAAAAACAGGTTAATCTCAGGTGATCTCAAATATATATATATATATATATATATATTTATATATATATAATTATAATGGAATTGATTTGGGTTTTATTTATAATAAAATAAAATTACACTTATTTTTTATTTTGTAATTGAAAACCGTCAATCGAACCATATATTGCAGTTTCCCAAAAATTCTGAAGTGGATTGTTGAATAGGCGAGAAGCGAACGGTTTGATAAATACCCAATATATTTAAATATCAAAAAATAATTTTTACATAAATTAAGTGTTTTTACTCAAGAATTTGAGATAGTTATAGATTCATTTGTATCACTTTTGGATATTAGGGGTGTCTAAAAACCCGACCAACCCGATTAATCCAACCCAATCTAACACGAAATAATACAACCCGATATTTAATCGAGTTGTAAAATTGTCAAACCGTAGTATTGAGTTGATAAATTGTTACTATTATTTGAACCCAACTCAACCCGATTAACCCGATATCTTTTTATTTTTTGGATTTAATATGATTTTGAATTTATATTAATATGTATATTAGACAATTACATTATCATGTATGCTATTCATATACACATATTTTCAATCTATTCACATCTTTATATAACTCATTCGTATATATGATCAGTAAATGTGAACATATATATGTGAATTGAGAAAATTAACTGAATGTGATATACGTAAGAAATATGGATATGTTGTATGAAATGATTGATTATGAAAAAAAAATTATAAGTAGAGAAATAACATATTCTAGGTTAGAAAAATATTTTAATTTACCAACGTATCAACCCGATCAACCCGTACGGGTTGGGTTGGGTTGGGTTGCACTTTGGTTCGGGTTGGATTGAGTTAAGATTTTTCAAACCACAATAATTAAGTTGGATTGTTCAAATGTCTTCAACTCAATCAACCCAACCCATAAACATCCTTATTGGACATAATAGTTTTCATCATAATTAACTGTAATATTTTTGAGATCATAATTTATCTGTTGAACTAATTTGGATGTGACACGTGCACAAGAAATCAAATTTTGTAATATTATATTTGTCTACAATCTTTTCTATTTATCAATATTCAGGATAAAAAAATGGTCACCTACCACCCTCACCCTCACTCTCACTCTCACCCTTGTTACAGAAGTAATCACTGATTCTAATGCATATGGAGTTCCTCCTCATCCTCCTTTTGGCTGCTTCCTCCACTCTTCTTCTTGCTGCTCATACCATTGTCGAAACCTTACCGGGCTATCCTGGACCTCTCCCTTTCAAACTAGAAACTGGGTATAATATATACATGTATACTATCAGTGTATATATATATATACATACATACATACTTCTCTGTGTACAGTACAGTTAAATATATCTATACATTTATGTGAAAATTGGATCAGATACATCGGAGTAGGAGAAGATGAGGCGGTACAACTATTTTACTATTTTGTGGAGTCGGAAAGGAACCCAAAGGAGGATCCACTCATTATTTGGCTTGCTGGAGGACCCGGTTGTGCCACCCTTCATGCCTTCTTTTTTGAAATCGGTATGCACATCACTCATCTTAATTACCCAAATGATCTAATGATTTAAAATTGATTAACTTTATAAGTTAATGATCTAATGGTCTAAAATTGAACGGTGACAATTTTGTGATTATTGAAAATTTTTGTGGCGTTTGTAAATGTTTAGATCTGACGATTATAGATCTAATCCAATGGATGAGAATTGGTCTTACGGGTCTCACGAAAAAGTTTTGATCTTATATGATCCCAAGTCTATATATACATATATATATATATATATATACATAATTACTTGTTAAGTTGACTTGTACCCAATACCTGTGACATGCATACAAAAACATACCAGCTTGCCTGTTGTTTGGTTGATCACAACTCTTTATTTTCTACTATCTCCCCATGCATATATACCTAAATCATCATTCACTATTTCCATCAACTAATTCGTTAAACTTCGACACAGAAACTGAATTTTGCCACTATTCAAGCTACCATACACAAAATCTTTAGTAAAAATTACATTAGTAGATGTCAATTCGATATGTTACAACAAAACCATTGGACAATTTACACGGTTGTCCTAGTAGACCGTTTTATAGGACATAATTAGTTTATAAAATCAAACAATAAAACGTTATATAAAATGTCACTTTCTATAACACTTTTAACAAGTGTTTTATATATAAACACGTCTTTTTATGATACACTTGTTTTTATAATATATTTTTCAAACACAAGTGATATAAAATAACTAATATGAATTTAGGGCCATCATATTTCCGGTTTGCTTTTTTAAGATTCTATTTCAACTTCTATCAACCAAGCTGCAAACCTAATTAAATGTCATTAAGTGCATTATACATGTGTACCAAAAAGACATCTAAAACCTCTATTTTAATATATATATTGGTGGTGGTTTTTGAAATGATTACATCACAAGCCTAATTCTCTGATACGTCCAATTAGTTTAGCGGTGCCACGTATCTTCGAGGTCCTTACATATATATGGTCTTGCAATCTTACCACGTACACCACCATTCTTGCAAATATCCAAAAGCGATTTCCAATGCGAGTTGGCATGCAAAGCTGCCCATAAATTGTTTTATTCTACTACAAAATTAAGTTGAATAAATTGTTAGTTGTGTACATGTGCTTTTTAATTACTAAGAATTTTAAGTATAATACACATAATATAAATTACATTAACAAAGTATTTTTAATTAATTTTAACAAATAAAAATCTTAACTATTTAAATGCTTAAAATATAAACATAATTTCGATTATATTTTTCACAAATAAATCTGATCTTAATTACGGTTTGGTAAGTTTATGCATTTTATTATTTACATTTCACTCAACTTCCACTATTATAATTATATATGAAATATATAATAACGTTTTAATTTTTCGTCAACCTCTAATAAATAGGGTTCCTATTATGTACGTAGCATTTATGTTAGAGAGGGTTTTAATGTGCATTTAATTATTCACCATTTTTTAAATGTAAATTCTTCTCTCTCATTCAATCCTTTTGTGTATATATTTTAAAACAAGGGTTCATATTTTTATTTTAGATGGTCCTAAAAATAGGTTGATTAAACCACAAAGGTGGTGTCTGATTGGTTTGAGTTTGACTCCAAAAATTAAAAGTATCAGGAGATTTCATGTTCAAATCCAAGGAGAAATAAAAATTCTCTTGTGGCCACGGGGGTTCAAATGCGGTGACTCTGGGCTATCAGCAATTGGCAGGTGGTCGTCCTGGGATTAGTCGGCTCGCATAGCGGGTTGGATATCCAGGTTAATAAAAAAAATAGGTCGATTGAGTGTTTACACCTCAAATTTTATTCTTAATGATAAAACAAAAATTCTTTACTCTTACTAATAAGAGTAAGAGTGTCATTTAGTTCACTAAAATATATAATTATTACATATTTTCATTATAAATATTTATTTTGCATCAGAGTGATCTTAAATAGAAAGTTAATGTCTCTCGCATGTAACTCAATTGACAAAAGGACAAAGTGACTTTGATCAAATACAAGACAGATTCTGGGTTCGATTCCAGACCCCCCCACTAATCTCAAGTCGCCTCGTAAGAAAAACAAATGTCTCTTTATATTAGTGTCCTTGAAGATGAATTCTATGTAGATTCGATTGAGGTTGTTAATAATCAATTTTTTATTCGAATAAAAAGTTATTATGAATATGAATGATGCATGTTTTTTTGTAAAAAAAGGGAAAATATGTTCACAAAAAGAATGGAAAGATGCATGCACATGGGTTTTCCCAAAAAAAAGTCCATTAAAGAGATCCTTTTAGATATGTGGGGGATGTATCAAATGGAAACTAAATTGTTTGTTAAACCGTAGATTTTATTTTTTAATTTAATAAAATTGTTTTATAAAATTATTTAATAAGATGAAATTATTTTATATAATTTTTTATTCATGAAATTGTTTCATATATTTTTGTTTTTATGTTAAAATAAAATTGTTTCATGTGTTTCTCATTTTGATGAAATTTGTTTCCTAAAATTAATATAATTAAGATGACAATGTTCATAATTTAATACACTCCATAATATAAATGATTAATTAACACTCATAAATAAAAAAATAAAAAAAGAAAAGAAAGAAAGTGATTTAAATGATGGCTCGATTTGCATTTGATTTCTCATATATATATATATATATGTATATATATATATATATATATAGAGAGAGAGAGAGAGATGTTGGTTATTATACAACCCTTGACATTTGTACAACCAATACAACCCAATCTCAACCGTCCATTTCATTTGATTAATATGTGATTTAATAGAAGTTTTGATTGTTTCCTAATATAAAATATTGATCATAATTAATGAACCATATTCATCTTCAATAAAATATTCAAATCATAATAGATGAACTCTCATCATTTATATAAATATCTTAATTTATTGGGTTATATATATATATATATATATATATATATATATATATAAGTTTGTGATCTAGAAACTTATTGTGTTTTTGTAAGTTGAACAACTTTTTGCACGATCCTTCCTCTAGATCTCTCTCTTTCGCCCCTTATATATGTATGTATGTGTGTATATATACGGTTCAAATGGAATTTATTCGGATAATGTCCGTATAATATATTGAATTCACATTCTTGTATAGGTCCAATGCAATTTCGATATGGTAATTATATTAATAACGTCCCAGCATTACAATTGGACCCGAATTCTTGGACAAAGGTATGTTTGTGCACCTAACTCAAATAATTAATCTTCTTTCGTATGAAATACATTGTTGAGTTACATAATTGGTTTTGATATATCATCTTATGATGAATTACATATATATCCTATGGGATTTTAAAGGTGGCTAATGTCATATATTTGGATGCACCCACATTAACCGGATATTCATATACAAAAACCTCAAAAGCTATTCGTTCGAGTGATACGTTATCGGCATCACAGACAGTTGAATTCATAAGGAAGGTTAGTGGAAGTTCAATATATACCTATCGAGTAAGTTCGTTCATTGACATTTATGTACAATTAATGCAGTTTGTTAGGGATCATCCAAAGTTTTTAAACAATCCTATGTATGTTACTGGAATTTCTTATTCTGGCATTGTTATTCCGATCATTACCGAAGAGTTATACAAAGGTATAATATATTTTTTTGCTATTTATTTCTTCAATTTATACAATCTTTAATGCAATAACAAAGTTCACCCATAAATAAAATTTTATTAAGGAAAAAGATAATCAAAGGATCCAATTCATTTTTCCTTTCTTTCAACAGGTAACGATGAAGGATTAGAACCGACGATAAACATTAAAGTAAGTAAATTATGTGAGACAAATAATGGTTTTTAAATAAGTTTCTTGCATTAGATGTGGAAGACCATACCAAGTTAAGGACATTGATGGTGCAAAACCATAGGGATATATTGCAGGAAACCCGTTGACAGATAAAACTGGTGATATAGACTCCAGGCTTGAATATGCGTATCGTATGGCACTTATATCCAAGGAATTATTTGAGGTAATGCAAAAATTTAATCATCACGTGTTTCATGTTTTATTCGTTAAATCAAAGATAAAACTGATAAAAAAACGTACTTCATTTTGTGAATTACCAGTCAACTAGAAATGGTTGCAATGGAGAATATGCAGAAGCTGATTCTAACAATTTGTTATGCATGTCAAATATTCATGAAGTCAACAAAGTAAGTATATTTCGTACAAGTAAACTTGACCTTTATCTTTCGTTATTTCTTRGACACACTACCAATAAGACTGTTTTATTTAATGTCAGCRTGTTAAACACATTAATATTCAACAAATTTTGGATCCTGATTGCGAATCAACCGAGACCAATTTGTTTAGAATAGTAAGTCCAAGAAGAAACAGAAATCGGAGATCTTTACTGACCAATCAAATTAAAATGATTCCTATACAATCTTCGGTCAATTACACCTTTTGTCGGGTACTTATCCTCCTCCCTCTCTCGCTCAAGTCTCAACCCCCCCCCCCCCCCCCAAAACAAAAAAATGAACTTATATATATTTGTATGAAATCTTCTTTCTCCACAGGATGAGTATTATGAATATGCAACCCGTTGGGCTAATGATAAAAATGTTATGAAGGCACTTAATGTTCACGAGGTATGTATCTAATAACATAAATAAAGAAAAGAGTGATGCTACATTCAATTTAGTATAATCGATAAAAAGTTWCTTGTGATTTAGTTTATATGATGGCACTAATTAGGGAACAGTGGACAARTGGTTGCTTTGTAATTTGGACATGGAGTACAATTATGGTTTACTTTCGACATCATCATATGAGTTCAATGTCCAAAGTAGTGTCATCTTCCACCAAAAGCTAAGTAATAGAAATTGTCGAGCTTTGATTTTCAGGTATATAGTGGACGCTCTTTACTCTTTTATGGTATCTCCAGTATGCATGCTTGTTTACGTCAACTTATAACTTAATTTCTTATGAAACAGTGGGGATCACGACATGATGGTTCCACATATCGGTACACGTAACTGGATAAGTTCTCTTAATTTGACAATAGTAGATAGTAATTGGGATGCATGGTATGTTAATGGTCAAGATGCAGGATACAAAACCATCTATGCCCGTGATAACTATTCTTTAGCATTTGTCACTCTTAAGGTAAAACATATTACACACACACACACACACACACACATATATATATATATATATATACACACACACACACAAAGGGAAGATTGACCATCAACATATTAAGCTGGTGAAAATTCTTCTTTTGATAACAGGGAGCAGGACATACAGCTCAAGAGTTTATGCCTGAAGAATGTTTTGAGATGGTTAAGAGGTGGTTTGCTCATATACCTATATGAGACATGATATTTAAGTACGCTTCTTGGAATTTGGAACCATTTTTTCAATGAATTTTGTACTAGGATGTTGTTGTGATTAGGAATGATTGTTTATGGTGATTATATAACTGTCATAATAAATGCTCTAAAGTTTATCATATCGTAAAATGGAAATTCAAGCAATCCGTCGCTTATTAGCGATGGATTTTCTTCCGTTGCTATATCTGTCACTGATACCTCTTTTCCTAGTAGTGGAAGTTTTTCATCATTTTTTTCTTTATTTTCTGGATCCACGTTTTGAATCACATGTGATTAGTTCATTTAACATATGATCAATTACATATGACATATGATTCACACTGTGAATTTTTGTACATATAACATATGGTAGCATACGTGTGATAAGTTACATATAATCAGATTTGGTAATATGCTTCTGAATATAATTGACGTATTATCATGTGTGATAATATTTGCATTACAAAAAGATCTATAAATGTAAATATACATAACCACATATATTTAGAAAAAATATCTACAATTATCACGATTGATAATCAAACAAATTATTAAAAACTTATAATCAAGCTGTTACAAATTTATCTTTGTGATGAAATCGGTTTATTAAGGATTATTAAAAATTAGTTTGAAAAATATTCAATCTCGGTTTATTAAGGATTATTAAAAATTGGTTTGAAAAATATTCAATCTTGATTTATTACGGATTATACCACAATTATAGATAATGTAATATTTTTTAATTTAATCTAATAATGTTTTATATAATCTTTTTATTAAATAAGGTATCTGATCCATATTCCTTTTCTCATTCTTGC